CTTATTGTCTCGTGTGCATCAGTCAAGATAGGCTTGTCGATTTCCCCAAAAGTCCACAGGAACATCCCATTTTTAAGATAACCGATCTGGAAGCCTGTCTCATCGATGTTCCACACATCCTCGTAATCTATGCCTTTTTCCGCGTAATCATGCCACTTGCGAAACCACTCTTCGACGTTGGCTCGGTCTGCCATCGCCTTTCTTTGCACTGCGATGGTTGAACTCTTCTTTCTATGAAGAATAGAGGAATATCTTCTTAGAAAACGTCTTGCCCAGTATCTAGAAGCCGTTGGAAGTCGGTCAGTTGCTTTTAGAATTGAATTAGCATACTGTCGAAGAGTACGCATCTGTATATGATGTCCCTGAGTGACGCGGCGCCAGCACCAAGCGAGGATCGCCTTCTCTTCTTCCGGCGAAAAAAGCGTGAAGTTGCCGCCATTTTGAGAGACAGGATGTTTTCCTTTTTGTCGAGAAAGCAACCTTTTATATGGTACCCTCCATGCCTTAGCAGCTTTAACAGCTGAGGAGTAATATCCTTCCCTTAGAAGCTCGACAGCCGCGACAGTACGCGTCTCAAGGTTATGAGCTGTATATCGCAAGACATTAGGGTTTCCGGTGTCAGAATTGATATATTTTTGTACTGCAGTAAGAGCCGGTTCAGGGCTTTTGATTGATGTATCCATCGTCTCAATTGAATAGAAATTGCAATTATCATGACTGAATAAAGTAATTACCTTGTTGGTGTTGAGGACGTTGAGTGGTGATTTCGTTGCGATGTTTGTGAGGGGTAATGACATATCGCGGGCATCATCAGTGCAGTAAAGAGGGACAATTCAACTAAAGGAGTGACTTATTTTTTTGGTGGGGCTACATACAAAAATGAGGTATCTAATTTATTCCCCAGTCACCCGCCCCTTTCCCTAGTCAGCCTACCCCCCGTGCTTGACGCACGGGCACCTACGGTGGAAAGGAAAGCACGGGGGGTCGGTCTCTAGACCCTACCCGAGTAGTGGGCGGCAACTGTCGGTGTTCATTGGTCATATCTCGCAAGACCCCTGAAGCCTGCCGCGATTAGCTGATCCTTCTGTGTTTCAGAAAAGGGTTCCCCCAGCCTTAAACACAACGATAAACAAGTGATTAACAAAAGATTCTGGAGAAAAGAAAGCTTGTTATTTCGCTAACAGGGGAGATCGCGATTGTGTTGTAATTGAAGAAGGTTAGTTATCTGCATCCTAACAGCGAGTATGTTGCTTTTCAACATAGTGAACGGCCAAGATCTCGTCTTCATGGGAGCGCAGTGGTAAACAGACAGTTACTGGCATTGCACTCCCGTATCATGTCTCGATCAGCTAAACAACTGCCGTCTCACCTAAGCCTAGCCCCCAAAATCCGCAGAGATTACAGAGTACCAGCTCGATAATCCTACCGGCTAGGCCGGCTCGCAAGCCATCCGTCCCATCCCTGCACTATCCTTGCTAATTTTATCACTTCAAGGCTAACTCTTGGGCTGCGCAATAAATCAAGATTGCAATCAGCGGATCGTCAATCCTGTCAGCAAATTCATGCATGCACAAGCAGGTTTTCAATCAATCGACATAAAGTAGATCCACCTTGTAATTTGAATCCCGATCCTTATGGGGTCCTATGTACCGCTCACTCCTAGCACCTGTTTCATTTCATCGCTCGACCTAAACTTGGCGTAGTCTCTGGCACTCCCGTACTGCCCCTTCAAGTCAGGATCTGCCCCCTGGCTCAAAAGCCACTTGACTCTCTCAACAGCACCGGCCATAACTGCATTTACGATCGGGTATTGCGCTGTCATATGCTGTGTCTCAAGTTTGTCATTCACGCCAGCGCCATTCTCTACTAACAGTGCCATGACGGGTATTCTTGACTTGTCAAATTCGTCGCTTGGTTCAACAAGTCCCGCATGGGGAATAGAACCTGCGGGACAGGCGCCTGCAGCGTAAAATAATCCCAATCCGTTACTGGTCATCTTAGCGCCAGCATTTAGAAGCTTCTGCGCTAACCCAACGGTGCCCTGTGAGGCTGCTAGCCTGAGTGCTTGGGATGGATCTGCTTCAGGCCCGCCAAGGTTGGGATCTGCGCCATGCTCCAGAAACCAATCAAGCAGTGGTTCATTATTTGTCTGAATGAGCCTTGGGAGGAGGCCCTCTGGCGTATTGACTGTCCAGCCGTGTTCTGTGAGGAGCTGAAATAAAGCAACTTGTTGATCTGCTGGGGCCCTGAGGATAATTTCTGGGGTTTTTCGTGAAATCGGTGTTCCAGACTGGAGAATATAACGTGCAATGTCAACTTTGCCGTTTTTCAGGGCGTCGAGCAAGCCGTGGTGAAGGAAGAGTGGCGAGCGGGTTTGAGAGGTGACGATTGACTCGACAGTAGATAAGTCACCCTCTCGGCAGGCACACAAAAATGCGACAAAGTCTGGTACACTGACTCCTCGTCCGGTGAGAATATGTATGTCGCTGGGGTCGTTGGCGGGAATGTCGTAAGGTTGGCCCATCCCCATCTGCTGGTATCCCATCTGACTCCCTGCCCCCATCTGCTGTGCGGTTTGTTGCCGCATCGTAGCTTGCTGTTGCGCCATCGCCATAGCACGCATTTGTTGCTGCCGTATTCTTTGTTGATCTTGCAGCAAAAGCTGTTTGGAAATCTGTTCCCCTTGTGATGACATTTTGCTTTGTTACTTGATGTTTGCCTTGTTTAGATGAACTGTAAGATGAGCTGGTGCTGCGTATAAATAGAGGGGCTGACTCTGCTGACGTAATGACTGGTAGGGAAGTGTTTCAACTGGTCTGATAAAGGAATGACCCCGCAAGGCCTGCTAAGCCATAGATAGAAATATTTAATGCCAGTTAGTAAACAGACAATAAGTAAACCAAAGCTGAATAGGATCGTAGTTCAATCCCGAGAAACATTAAGTGGAGAGACAAGGCTGCATATCGCGAGAGGGTCATCCAGTATGCAGATAGTGTTTTCACAGAGATTAGTATCGCCCTATAGCTCAATGTAGGGTTAGACTAACAGATAAAAACCTAATAATCCATGATCTTGACCGTGGAGTATCCTTAATAGTATGGGCATAAATATTTATTATATCGGAAACTAACATCTGGCTCTGGCGATAAGGGCAGCAAGCTATTGGTTACACCTTAAAGCTAGTTGTGACCATACTTGTAAAAGGATACAATGAACCGCTACCCTGTTACTCATGGTGTAAAATCCTATTTGTTGTATTTTCCTTGAATACAGTCATAGACAAAAGACAAGTGCCCTTTGCGGTTTATAGGTCAAATCTAACCTCGGCAAATAAAGACCACGTGTACTGTCCTTCTCCATATACAGGGTGCTCCTAGCGACTGAGTCGATTGAGCCAAGGTCGTTTGATCTTTGCAAGTTATCAGAAAACATGGATATAAACTGAACGATGCATATGATTAAATGACCTTTGGTAGAAAAGCCTCGGTAGACGGTGTCCGCTGGCCAGGCAAAGACGCAAAAGATTTGGCTCCAACTCTTACTAGCTGGGCAATTTCGGTCTCCTGCAATGACCTTCATGGTTTTGCATACGTTATCGGTGGGCTTTTTAGAAGATCTTTTAGAAACTAGAATGGCTTGCCGGGGCTTTATAATAGCACCTACCATGGTGTGGTATCGCCGGTGGAATCGGTCAAGTGATATCTTGACAGTCAGTTTTGACGGCCCATCCTATATCGTCTGTCGGAGAAGATCCACATAAGGCACCACTGTGACTCAGCTTTCACGTGGTATGTAGTAAATTACTTCGGGATCTAGACTGTGAGTAAGCTACGATGCGGTAGCTAAGTACAACATACATTTAGGTGACTTGTCATTGTAAAAGTAACCTTGGAAGTTTGCCGGGAAGGGAGTAGGCAGTGCTGTGGACGCTATTATCTTCGTCGGCGTGTAGACCATACCGACCCTGTGAATAAGTTGTGCCAAAAGGCAGGCACGCTGTTAATAATTGGATTGAAGTGCTTGACATAAAGAAGTTAGCTGATATCTCTTTTCGCAAACAACCAGACTGTAGTGGTAATGGAGGTAAATGGGAGCGTTCGACTCATGAAGCATGGGTTGTCTTCTCCCTTTTTCTAGAGGCACCAACATGATAACTCGGCACAGGACCTTTGCATGCGGCTGAAGCTGGCCGAACGCCAACCACCTTCAGCTGAGTCAATAATCGTCCGCTAGCCCAATGATCCCCCAGGCCACATATCAGGGATTACTTTGGCTTGTTAGTTTGAGCCGTATGTATCACAATGGGTTGCCTCATTTGCTGAATTTTGCCACGTTGCATATCAGCAAATGAATGCAATTACAGATTCCATGCAATCTGTTATTTAGAAGAGAATTGGCAAAGATCAACCGTCGCCACAGACCTGCAGGACTTAATGTTCTTTCAGGCTGTACCAAACATTGATGAGGAAGGAAGTGTGTCGCAACTACTCGAACAGTAACCACTAGCAACCCGAAGTTTAACATTAGAACTATCGATTGTGGCTGGAAAGAAACGTTCGAGACTGAATTGGATGTTCTGGTTAGTGCTACTACGTAAGACCCGAAAACATAGGAGAATAGGTTTCTCCAGCAATAATTTTGTATGGTATGCAGTCGCACGCCATTCTAACTTGGGTAGAGCCTAAAGACCGATCCCTCTTTGCCTGATCCATGCGGTGCCTGAGGGTCAGGCACGGGGGGCACGTTGGCTGGGCAAAGGGTCGATTGAGTAAGGAAAGCAAAGATGCGTCTGATAGTAAAGTAAGGCCTAGGAGGAACTATCTTTAATATACCAAAGTCATTATTCTAGGAAGACTCCAATCTCATTGCATGGCCATTGTATATAACAAGTCCACGAATCCGTCAACGGCTTCCTAATCAGCTGCAACATCTTTTTAGCGTGACCTTTCATAAACCACCGGAGCTCAGATCGATGTACAAGAATACAGAAGTGCGCCATTATGACCAATGCCCACGGCTCTTTATCCTGTAATGCTGTGACATACTCGTCAGGTAACTCGCCAACCCAAAAGTTCATAGTATTTCGAAGAGGGGTATTGCGATGTCGCATATAAGCCCGAGCAAAGGCTATCTCGAGAGCTGATAAGACTTCCAGACAGACCGGAGACGTGGCTAACGGCAATAGCTGAGATGCCAATGCTGAAATACGTAGGCCGTCGTAGCTCATGGGAAATTCAGTAGTATCATCAAGATTCGGCATGTGAAATATTGATGGTGTTTGAAGGGCCTTGGCAATATTGCATGAACCACGCAGCAGATGAAACCAGCTAGGCAACCAGTTTGTTGGGGATTGCTCAGTGCAAGACTTAGAAAAGGGGTCGAACCAGGCAAATGAGCACCACACTAAACCAAACGAATAGGAAACCAATGCGGAATAGTTTTCCTGGTTCATATTTTCCACAGCATGGCGGAACTCTGGTAATGCTAAACCGTGGTGTTTGGCCGCCAGCCACATATAATGGCGCTTTTGAGAGAGGCGTAACCACGACAGGTGAATGGCCGCCTGAGCTAGGATTCCTCGCATGATAAACGGATATTTTTGGGCCAACGATGGAACTGTTGCTTGCATTTGCATCGTGGCGTGGGGGAGTTGTGTAGGCGCTATGCACGTTGAGGTGATGAACTGGTGCAGGAGTTTCTTGGGTAGGTGGTTCTCAGGAGCAGCCGGGGTGGTTAGATGATGATTTGGCCGTGGATGCTGCTGCAAAGGCTCTCAAAGCTTTCATCAAAGCTCCATGGTGGGAACGGATATGGACAGTCCAAGCACCCATTCTCCCTCATCAAGCAACAGTCTTCTGGGGTCCCTGCGAAATCTCATGGGACTCGATGCGCAAGGCAGCGGATGGCTTCTTTGAAAACAGTGCACCCGGAATCCCCCGGGCATTTGGGGACAACGGGAGCGTTGTCGACCTTCAGTGTGTGATGAGAGGGCTCCATATCACCCGTAGAGAGCCGCTATTCCAGATTCTTTGGCGTTGGAGAAACCGTCATGCCACAGACCCACGAGATAAGGTATATGGTGTTTTGGGATTCCGAGATGATGTCTCCCTTCCCACAATCGCAAAATGTAATTGTTCTTTCGACGCACGAGAAGTGTATGAGCAGACCACCATCGGTCTTATTGACGCGAGCGGCGATTTGCTGCCTCTGATCGGTAGAGGGGGCGAAGGGTCAGATATCCCCGGTATTGCCTCGTGGGCTGTGGATTGGAATGGCGTCTAAGATCATTCTAGGCGTAGCACCTCTGACTTCTGGGATCACCTTTGCATATGGCATGGTCTTGGATACACGGCAGATCGTGGACTTTTTGGCGTCGGCGAAGGTCTAAGAGTCGAGGATAAGCGAGTTCTTCGTTTATAAGGTCTTCGCGTTGATCGAATCTGTGTGGTTGAGGATAAGTCTAATAGCGATGTTGAGTCGGATGAAGGATCAATCGGCTCCCTATTTCTGTCCGCCGGCAGTCGTTGGGGTAAACTCATTACGAGCTTCCAATAACTCGTCCCTGGAAACCCAGATCACGGCCACGACATGGGAGGTTGGACGCAGAAAATGGTTCGTCCACAGGCGCTCTTCATGACACAGTCAGGTATTTTTGGTCTTGGTCCTCGGCACATTCAATCAGGCCAGGAAGTTTGGATACTTGGCGGCAGTAGACTACCGATTGTCCTCGGGCTTCATCCTGACAGTGTAGGAAAATCGTCTGAAGGTGACTTTACGTTTGTTGGAGAATGCTTCATATATGGTATAATGATGGGTGAAGAAGTTAAAAAGGGACCAGGTAAGGCAAGAGATATTAGACTTCATTAAGGGTTTTTAATTATAGTTAATAAATTATTATAATAATTAATAATACTTCTCTGTTAATAGTAAGAATAAAAAGGATTTACTAATAAATATAATATAACTCTTATTTAATTATATTAATTTTATATTTAAATTTATTTAATATATTATTTTATAAAACTAATAATTTGTAGCTAATTAAAAATAAAATATATTAACAGTTTAAAAAGTACTTTTATAAATACATATTATAATTTTAGTATCTATTATATATATATATTAAAAACTATTATATAACATTAAGTCTAGCTAGTCTTTATTTAGCTATTAGCACTTTCTCTAAACCATCCAGTTATGGTGCTTCGAAGATTTGGGAAGGACTTCTCGCATGATGTGGAGGATAAGCCTCGGGGTGCCCAGGCAGCTCAATCTTCTGTTCCGAGGCATAGGGCTGTTGTTGGGAATGGTCAGGAAGCTCAGCGGGAGGGACTGTATTATTCTTTCTCTTCGCCAATCTTCTCCAAACAATCCATCCAATACCTCCCAGAATGAGGAGACCACCCAATGTCGCACCAACCGCCACGCCAGCGGTTCCTCCCTTGGACAATCGAGAATCTGAGCTAGCAGAACTTGTTTCGTCGCTCAAGGATGCACCGGTCGTATCGGCTGTGTGTTTCGTTGTAGACTCCGCCGATGTTCGCGTCGTAAATGTTTCTGATAGAAAGCTCAAAGTCTTTGTTGCAGTGATAGTTTTGGTCTTGTCAAGCTTTGGTGCACTAACGTTGACGTATTGAGATGCAGCTACTCGATGACCAGACTCATATAACCCGAACCAGTACACACAGTCTTCGTTGTTCTTCATCATTTTTCCAGCATCATACTCAGCTACCCAACCATCTGGATACGGTGGGCCATTTTCTGGATGACAAAGTCAGCGAATCCGCTGCAAAAATAAAGACTGGGTGTCTCTTACTACTAAGTAGACCATACCTGCTGCCTTTTCCGTAAAAGCCAACTTGGGAAATATAGAGGTCAACAACAGCGAGGTCTGTGTCAAATAGGATCGGGATGGTTTCTCCATCGTCGTAGCGAATGTTTTTCGTTGAATCTTGATCGGCTTCTTGTTCTGGGTCCCACTCTGGGGGACGGTTGAATTTAGAGTCGCATGACGCTTGGCTGGCGAGTAGAGAAAATACAAGGCCGACTTTCTCGAGAAAAGACATCGTGATGCGACAAGATTTCCCTGATTTGACGAGAGGTCCCCTCACTATTGCATACTTGATGGCTTTCTGGGCCTATCGATGTTGATTCAGAATCACGTAGATGGACATAAGTGGGAGGGGGACTTGACTTCTGACTAGGTAGTGGGTGGCAACGGTATATGTCTTCAATGACCCGAGTGTCCGAGCCAACGTGCCTGCCATGGGTATCCAAATTGGTAAGGACTGCATATCCGATCGGCAAACCATAAGAAGTATAGTTGAGGCACGGGCTTCGAATGAATATGGTGGGGATATGAGCTCATGATCTGACTTTGTTTCCCCCGATGACGGTCGACCAACACATCTTCAAAACTTCCCCCGTCAGCGGGAACAAGGACGAATAGGATTCAAACTCGGGGGCTAATAGATTATTAACGTATCACGTTCAATAAACATATTTAAATCATCAATAACAGTATTCGATATCATTTCAGCTGCCGATTTGTGAAGCGTCAAAGCGCTCCCTGATTTGCCTAGTTGCATATAGAAGTGGGACAAAACACAGTAACCAACAGCACAACAACCAACAACCAACAGAGCGTTGCATTAGCACAATTGATAGGTTGAATTCTGAAAATAGATGCAGACGCACGTTACCTGGTTCAGGAGGTGTTAAATAGAAGCTGAAAAAGCAAAAGCAAATTTTGCTTTGATTCAACAGAACTGAATATTCCGCCTGCAAAGAAACAAAAGGGACATTTCCTCTTCTAAGTTGTCATGACTGAGGCATCTTCTAAATTCATAACTAATTTAGAGTATATTTTCGGTCATTGTACTATGGGTAATAAGCTTAAATGGTAAAATGGGAAATTGGTTTTTCTCGGCAAGCCTTATAAGTTTAATCTGTTTCGCCGATGAAGTTTCTTCGTTATCCATCATTAAATAGGAAGTAAACAACACGACCCTTAATAGTTCCAGATCTTAGAATTGTACATAATCTGTCTGACTTGCAGCAGAACAATTATACAGTATCTAAGCAGGAAATAGGATTACTTTTAAATTTCAGTGCTCTTACTGGTACTACTCTGTAACAAGCCCCTGCAGCCACTGCGGCGATAAATAGCAAAAGGGGTTATGCTTGAGACTTTCTTTTTTGTACCTGTTGGTTGAGAAGTTCAGGCTGACCAACAACACAACTACTGTGGAGATCATTTTGAATAGCCCAATGGGATGTGAACCCGCGAGTTGGCCGAATCCTTAACCAGGCCGCCCAGCAAGTTTCGCACCCCTGAATTGTCTCTTTGCAAGACGCTAACGATGGAAAGCTCCACCTTTACCAGGGCCTGATATGTGAGTTCATGACTCTGATATGTCGGCTTTTGGGGTTTCTGTCCCTTAGAGAAGATCCAATTTATTCCCCATTCCACCTTTGCCTTCATCAGCTACAATACTCACAATATTCGCATACCAGTACCTCAAGCTGTAGACAATGCAATGTTATCTAGTCATGATGACACGAACAGCCCTTATCACGACACTTCTGGTCAGCACCAGGACATACACCAGATGAACGAGATTCCAACAACCAAACCCAGCATGTCGCCGAACAAGGCGGTGATCGCCCTTAATATACCCATTATAGACGGCAAGGACGAAGCTAACAAGCTGCTGACCGAAAGCTCTCATGAAGGCCAGGATGATAGAGAACCGTACACCAGTGCCCGAGAAGAGACTAGGACAAAGTTTGCATCACCGGTAAACAACATCTTTCTTAACTGGTGGCCTGAGACCGCCTGGTATGTTTTCAGTACTGCACTCATAGTTGCCCTTGCGGCTTTGCTCAAGGCTTATGACCAGAAACCGGCCCCTGAATGGGTTATGTCACTGAACACGGTTGTCGCTGCTGTTTCTACCACCTGTCGCGCTTCGATAGTAATTCCTGTTTCAGAAGGATTTTCTCAACTAAAATGGAATGCCTTTGCTCGATCCCAACGCCCGCTCAATGACCTGCAGACTTTCGACCAGGCAAGTCGCAGACCTTTTGGCTCTTTAGTATTGCTGTCCAAAGCAAGGGGAAGGTAAGTGTTCTCCTGATGTATAGCGTTAACAGCGTATCTAACGTCTCCGGGTAGACTGTTAGGTATAAGCACAGTTGCAGCCCTGATACTCATTTCCGGATTGGCAACATCCTCTCTTACGCAGGCAACCATTGCTTTTGGCCCTCCTTTGCGCAGAATGACAGACAACGCCATTGCGCACAAAGCCAATCCCATCAGTACAGATGATTGAGAGAAGATGAAGGGGTCCCTGATGAATATTGCATTTCAGCATTCTTCATCAGCGAACGACAACAGGAAAACCTCCAACTGAATCCAAGCTGCCCATCCTCTTGCCATTGGAACAAGTTTAGATCCATTGATATTTGTGATGTGCAACGAAACATCACAGATCGCCTTAAACTCGAACTTAAAGATCCAGATAACCTAGGCGACTTTGTTCAAACACAGCTCGTGGACCCAGATGAAGAAAATGAGTATTGGAGGGTCAAGTTACCCATGAAACTCGAAGATTTCAAGGTTGACGACGTCAGCTCCTACACCTGGGTCGTTGCCACTACGGGCTCTCCAACACTTGACGATTGGGCCAAGGGCATGGATTATCCCACTGCTTCCCTGTCCACGCAGCTTTTTATCTACAAGAAACTACCATATCCAACAAAGCAGAGGGTGAGATCGTACAAGGGAGCTATGAGCCCCTACAGAGCTGTTGCAGTTACTTGGTACTGGTGCATCAAGGAGTACGAGAGAAATGTTTCATCGGGGACTACACATATTAAAACTACAGAAACCGACTTTCGAGTGATTGATGGCCCATACAAGATGTCAGAAAGTATTTGGCAGTTCACTTTAGTGGACAATATTACATTAGAAAGGTTTCCTGTTACTGTTGGGCACTGGCTTCTTTCTTTAACTTGGAAGGTCGAGCCGTTTGACCGAGCCACTGACGGGTTGACGAGTCGCGCCACCGATCGAATAATAGGTAACAGGACATCAACAGAAGATGATCCATGGGACAACATGAAATGATCAGAACTTCTCAAACCAGACTAACAGCTCTTTCGCCACGGCGGTCGCATCAGGTCTCGCTGGCCTTCTTATGTCCTGTAGTTGGGTTATCCACCCTGAAGACCGCTGGTTTCAGGACATGACAAGCAGGGGACATGCATATCACGCCATGGCTGGAAATGGTCAATTTCCACATATTCAAGTGCTCGTTGAAGACCCACAAGCCATCTCACGGAAGTTAACCATGTAACCTTTCCTAGTCAGCAGACCCGAGTTCTTCACCCAGGTATCTCCCATGACATATAAAAGCTTTTCCACGTGAAGATCTAGTGTCATCTTGGTGGACCCGTGCTTGTCCTGGTTCTTTTTGACCGTTTCAGGTGGATACAATCCGACTTCCCTATCGAGCTGAATGGTGTCAAGAAAGGTCAGGCCAACGCAGGTGTGGTATGAGCCAACTTCAAGCGTACGTGCGCAGAGTGTCAACATGATATCAATCACACCGGCTGCGCCAGAGAGCATACCTGAAACAGGCAAAAGAGGGAGAGCAGATGTTCCCTAAGGGAATTCGTTATCTTTTCCAACGATATAGGAGCAACTAGAGGCTGAAAGCCGGGCGCTCAGCATAATAAACGTCCAGGCCGTAGCAGTTCCAATTCATATAAACGATGCCGTTTGTGTTGCGAGTCTCTCACCGCCTCAGCCACCTAAATCAGTTCAGGCTCTACGCGACGCCGTTCTGAAGCAAGTCAAAGCCACCAATCCGCTCCTTGAATTAGACACTGCGTCAGTAAGTGAGATCACTAAGGTAGTCAAGCTCAGCGGCCTACAGCCTTTCTTCCTTGAGTGGGAGGACCAATTTGAGGACTGGCAGAACAAGAGCATCAATTCTAAGCGCATTATGCTGAGCAACGTGGAGAAAGAGGCAAGTGAATACGTACTCCCTACAAGTATGAGAGTATATAATAACAACTATATAGGCAGTTATCTGACAAACAGATGTGCGTATATTAAACCCAAATGAGATCCTGGCAACATTTGATGCTGCAGGAGAACATAGCGATGAGCTTAAGAAGGCATACCATATCTATCTGGATAGGCCGTCTTCCTGTTACAATGGCGAAATTGACTTTATCAATGACTATAAATTCTTACTGCCGATACAGCGTCTCGAGAGATTCTTAAAGAAGGATTCACAAATTTCTATCTTTAGGTATTTGGTACACGAGGCTAATCCCTGGCAACCGTCAAGCGGAGCCCATCATGCAGTGGATCTGATCTTACTACTTGGAGGCTTCGATCTGAGCTTCTCGCGTGGTTTAGAGTTGAGTGGTTAGGCTATGTGTGACAGTTATTTTAACCCTAGAGAGAGAGGAAATATAGGAAGCAGAAGAAGTAATACATGGTAGTTAAAAGGAATATCAACTTCAACACTTCTATAAATTCAAGCTTAGATAATATGCGTTCTGTATCCATTGAAATACTCTACCCGGCTGACAAGCTGGGCGATTCGTTCCCACATCGCCACGGGGTTCGAATACATAACAAAATGACCACTATGAGGTATCTCAGCCAGCTCCACCCCCGCCTTCACCAACCTCGGCAGGTATGATAAGGAAGCATATTGCTCTCCAAACATATACATTCTTGGAAAGTCGAAATTCTCAAAGGCCTCCAAGAGTCTCCCGTTATCCGTGCAGTCCACCATAGACTCAAACGTAGGCCGAACTACAGCAGCTTGCACCTTGGAACGAAAACAAGCCGCATACAGCCCATTGCTATAAAGCGGTGATTGGCGTGTTCGCTTGATGAACTCATCAACAAATACTTCCGGGTCATCTGATGGGTAGTGGAGAACCTGCCGACTCAGAAAGCAGTCTTCTGGGGCGAGGTTTCCTTTGATATTGATAAAACTCAACACCGATGATGCCTGACGTTGAGCCAGTAGATTGGACACCAGGCCGCCCATCGAGTGTCCAACAAGGTGGTAGTGGGTGATGTTGAATTGCTCAAGCACTTGTTCTGCTATTGAGACAAGCAGGGGCATTGATAGCTGAGATAGATCGGACATTGTTGACTCTCCGCTACCGGGCGAATCGTAGGCCAAGAATGGCCGACCAGCAAATAGTGGATTGAGTGCAATATCAACATAGTCTTCCTTCGTACCTCCGAAGCCATGTAGGAAGAAAATTGGAACCAAAGGTCCGTCTCGACGAATGGTAGACAGGTTGAAAGAGAGATGGTTGATGCGAAGCTCTAATGTTTGCCGAATCAATTGCTGGGGGTCGGTTGCTTTTGTCATTGTTGATTCAAACGCTTTCGAAGTAGTTGGTAGTGAGCTCAAATTCATAAGTCGCTGAAGACTGCGTGATGCCGTAGTGTTGATCAAAGTTCTAACCCTTATATTCTGAACACTAACACAGCCCCAAAGTACGTATATCCACCATCCCCACTTCGGCAAGAAAATTTCTTACCGTGATGCGGCGTTGGCTCAAACACGCCGTCCCGGAGTCCCGGATCAAACTCAAAATCTAGCTCCTTTTATTGGTTATGAAGAAGGGCCCGTTGAAGTCACTTTCGATTTGTAACGAGTCTTCGTTTGCTGCTACGTGCATGCTGAATAATTCCTCGGCTAGAAGGGCTAGCGTATCTCGGCAGTTCTGCAAAACGAAGAACGCAGTTACAAGTGGTAGAAGAGTTTTACATAAATCCTGACTTTATTGCGGGGAGCGTGCAGCCTTCAGTTCAGCAAAATACCAATTCTGGATGGCCCGCACATCGTAGCCTAGAGCCACAGTATCGAATATCTCTAGATGCTTCCTAGCTGAAGCCCCATCATTTGATAGGCGGCCAATCCATTTGCCATGCTTCCTAGCTACTGCTATAATTTTCTCAATTGCGTCGACAAATTCAGGCTCATTGCCTTTTGCAGGGGCGTAACCTAGAATTGAAAGAGCAAGGTCGTTGGGACCTATGAAAAGCATATCTTGTTCAAACTTAGAAACGAGCTTGGATGAGTCAAGGGTGGCTGAAATTACTTACCAACACCGGGCACGGCGCATATAGCATCAACATTCTCAACACCCAACTTAGACTCAATTTGCAGACAAGTAAGAAGGGTCTCGTTGGCTGTGGCTATGTAGGTTGGGATGTCAACCCCAAACGCAAACCCAGGAAACGCTGAGCCTTGTCCCCTCAGACCTTGGGGAGGAAACTTGGCGTGTTGGACCACGTTCCTGGCATCTTCAGGCGTATTGATCATAGGAACAACAATGCCATGAGCACCAGCATCTAGAGCACGTTTGATCAAGTCCGCGTGGGTCATTCTTAGACGGACAAGTGGAGAGACTCCTTGGGAAGAGATAGCGGTAACTGCATTATGCATAGAATCATCGCTGATATGCCCATGCTCACAGTCGATAATCACACCATCGAGGCCAGTGGAAGCTACCAGCTGAGCTGTGCGAGCGGACGGGAGACCGAGAAAGGTCATGATTGGTCCAGAATTAGCGCGGAGAGCGTTGAGGAGCCGTAACTGCGGGTTTTGGATAGTGGTCGTAAGAGCTGAGGTATGCCACATCATGAGAGATGTTTCAGAACGAGATTGACGACGGCGAAGTATAATTAGATAATAATGGACTGCTAATGGTGACGAAATACGCAAAAAGCTACAGTTGACAAGTAAAATATGTAAATAAATCACGGTCCAATCTAGGAGATATACTATTCCGAAAAGAACGAATCGGCAAAACTCCTCATGACCGACTTCATACTCATGACTTGACCTATAGTCGGGCAAGAAGCCAACTTCCACTTGGATCGCGTCTGATGTTTTTATTCGGCAGTTTCTAGTGACTGGCCAGTCTTGCCTCTCACTCGGTGACCTACTTATCGCCGGGTCTCTGACCGGCATCCTTCAGTCTTGCCGGCGAGGCCGACGTCGGCTCCATTCAAAATCCACCCATTTGCTCTATAAGTCAATATCGTACCTGTCAACTTTATCTCTAACTCCTCTGTCCTAGACAGATGACGATTATCACCGTTGGAGAAACAAGATCAAGAAAACAGTTTGAACGACATGTCGTACCTTGCCGATATTCCACCCGCCCAGCCGGACGCGGCCTTTTCGCTCATAGCCAACTTCAAAGCGGACACGACCGAGCACAAGGTTGACTTGTGTCCAGGATTCTATCGCGATGATAACGCAGAACCATGGGTTCTACCATCTGTCGCCCAGGTACAGCATGACAAGATAAAATTAATCTACGTATCGAATACTGACTGAAAATGCCCTACAGGCAAAAGAACAGATACATGCAGATCCAAGTCTCAACCATGAACATCTGCCTCTTGCTGGTCATACAGGGTTGCTTCTTGGCTCGCAGAAGCTGATTTTTGGCAAAAGCCGAGACCTAAAGCGTGTGGCTTCAATACAGACAGTCTCCGGCACGGGAGCAAACCATATCGCCGCTCTGTTCCTCGCAACCAAACTCAAACCTAAAAGGGTGTGGATCTCAAACCCAAGTTGGATCAACCACACAGAAATATGGAAACTTGTTGGCCCAGACATTGAACAGCGACTTTACCCGTATTATGATACAGCACATCACAGAGTGGATTTTGAGGCCATGACACGAACCTTGCGCAAGGAGGCATGTGATGGAGACGTCATTATACTACACGCATGCGCTCACAATCCCACTGGAGCAGATCTCACCAGTCAGCAATGGGAGACTATCGCAGAAATTTGTAAGGAATCTGGTTTATTCCCGGTCTTTGATGTGGCTTAGTGAGTCTTCTATACTGCCATTAAAGAATGTTCTGGATCTAACCTCCTTGCAGTCAGGGCTTTGCGTCTGGAGACCTGGATCAAGACGCTTCCGCGATAACTCACTTCTATGATAGATCAGACCTAGAGTTCGCAGTGGCGCAGTCCTTCTCAAAGAACTTCGGCTTATATGGAGAGCGTGTAGGGGTTCTCCACATGGTCGTACTCAAGACGGAGACTGCGGCAAAGGTCATCCCTTTACTAACCCAGCTGTCGCGGGCTGAGATAACTTCTTGTCCTTCATACGGCGCAAGAATTGTAGCTAAAGTTCTGAGTAACGCGACTCTCTTCGACCAATGGCTACAGGACCTGGTGACGATGAGTGAACGGATGAAAAGCATGCGCAAAGCTTTGTATCAAGGACTGCAACGTAGATCAGTCAGGGGATCATGGGAGCACTTGCTTACAGACGTATGAATGCCTGCCTCAGTTATCTTGTGTAATTTAACTAACAAACTTTATAGATCGGCATGTTTTCTATGATGGGACTCACCCGTGATCAGGTCAATGAGCTCAGAACGAGCCATCATATCTACCTCCTTCCCTCTGGCAGGTTGTCCGTGACCGGATGTAAGCCATACATTCAAGTCTTTCTGATAAAATCCGTCAGCTAATGAGTTTTTAAAGTAACAAGCAATAATGTAGATATTGTTGCAGAGAGTTTCCTTGCTGTGCTAGGCACAAATTAGCCTTAAAGTTTATAATAGTAAGGTTTAGATTAGGAAGCAACTTGGGTTTGTGTAAGGTTTTAGAATGGTTAAATTCTTTCTTTAGCTATATTTGGACTGCCTGATTAATCTAGTAGATAGAAATACTAGAATTTTAGCTAAGATTATTAAAAGGCCTCTTTACCTATAGTATTCATACCAGCTCGCGTATTGCCATTAACAACTATATCTATTATCTTATTTACTTTATAGAATTTTAGGATTACTTAATATAATAAATTATTTAAGTATATATTACTCCTCTTACTATAGGTTTTAGTAATGGAGTATAATAGCTATAAGGTTATAATAGCATAACAGAAATTAAATTACTTATTAAGCCTAAAATAGTAAAACTATTAGTTTAATGCTCCTTAAGATATGGCTTAGAAGACTGAAAAGGTACATATTAAGGAACCTAGCTTGAATTAGGACGAACTTATAGCGATTTATTGTTTAAGATACTAATATTTAAGTTAAAAAGCTCGATGTCCTCTTATGAGGTTGAGAGCAAGGGGAAAAAACCCTATAGCAATACTATATTATACGAATCGCAGACTAGTCACAACGAGCATTCCAGCTTGGATTGAAAAAGTCTTGGTCTCCTCAATTGAAGACTAGATTGCTGACGCCGCAGGGCATCTCGTCACCAAGTGTTGCCCGGCACGTGGTGGGACTGAGCTTGGCGAAAGAATTGAACGCCGACCCAATCGGCATCCTGTATTTTGACCCTTATGGAGCTCAAGCTTGGCGAAAGAACTGAACGCCGATCCAATCGGCGTCTACTATTTTCGCCCTTATGGACATCAAGCTTGTGAAGGCGGAATCGGCATCAATCTTCTTTACTGGCGTAGAAGGTCTTCATGTATCCATGTTAAAAAGGTCATGCCAAACACGTAGTGATTTACCATTGTCTTCTAAATCCATCGTTCTAGACTTCCTTATTATCTTTATACGGCAACTATTCTAGTACATTAAAATGTCGGACACTACCCTTGATCGGCTTTCAGCACTAGATACCAATACGGTATCCGACGCCTTAGACTTTCTTGGTCTCCCAGGAGCCACGAATGGTCTTCGACCTCTCTGGGACTGTCCCAAAATCGTCGGCCGCGCCAGCACCGTCCAACTGGGGCCCAAGAAAGAGGATGCTCCAGCTACGACACATCTGATCACACCGGTGATTGATGCTGTAGCAACAAGCGACCGCATCCTTGTTATCGCTGGCGGTGTAGAAGGGATCTCTTCCTGGGGTGACATCATCGCCAACGCCGCCAAGGTCAAGCAAATCCGTGGATCTATCATCGATGGCATGAGTCGTGACATTGATGGAAGTCGGGACATCCGCTATCCTGTCTTTGGTCGCGGTGTGACCATGATCAGTGCACGCAATAGGTTGGTTCAGATCAGTTCTGGCGTGCAGGTTGAGATACGAGGTGTTAAGGTGGACGAGAACGACTATGTGATTGCCGATAATTGCGGCACGGTTTTCATACCAGCTGATCGTATTGGAGAGGTCCTGGAACTGGGCGAGCGCATCGATCGTCGCCAGAATGGAATGGTTCAAGAAGTGCAAACCGGCCGCTCTGTGGCAGAAGTCATGCATGACAAGCAATTTGAAGCCATTGGATCCTCGGCTACTCCCTATAGGCCGGCAAGGCCTGACAAGCCTCAAAATCCCAAGGAGACTACTCCAGAAGACCAAGAACTGGTCGGTCTATTCGCTGATTCCGACACCGCGGGAGTTTCAGACGCCCTCGACAAGCTTGGTATCCCAGGACAGGCATTCAACATCATGCCCCTAACAAACTACAACAAGACCACAGTCGGACCCGCTTTCACAGTTCGTTACGCACCTGCCAGTAACCCTCCCGGCAGTGTGGGTGATTTCATCGACGACGTGGCCGTCGGCGATGTCGTTGTAATTGATAATGGTGGCCGCACAGACTGCACTGTTTGGGGAGATATAATGACGCAGTATGCCGGCCTGCGTGGTGTTGCAGGAACCGTCATCAATGGTGTGTGCCGTGATGTTGACCGTGCTATCAGTGACAATTACCCAATTTTCTCCTGCGGACGCTGGATGCGGACGGGCAAGGATCGAGTCCAGGTTGAAGGTGTCAACGAGTCGATTGGCGTCGGTAAAGTACGTGTCAGCCCGCGAGACATTGTTGTAGCGGATGCAAACGGCGTTGTAATTGTGCCACGAGACAGAGCTCGTGAGGTGGCTGCAATTGCGAGTCGTATCGAGAAGAGTGAGCAAGGTATCAGGGAATTGATATGCAAGGGGTCCACTATCGCCGAGGCGAGAGAGAAGCTTGGCTATCACACTTTACAGCGTAAGGAATAGATATGAAGACTCGTTAAACACGGTCATTTATCGACTCAACAGTCTAGGATAAAAAAATACTCTATATGTATAAGCTCATCAGTCCTGCACTATTCCTGCCAGCATATCTGTTGAAGCGCATTGTCGTAGATCCAGTCGTCGAGAAATGAAAGGTTCAAAGGTGAGCCATCCGCAGCATGAATGCCAAGCTCTGTGTTGTGTAAAACAGGGGCTTCCAATGGTTGGTTGGCCATAGCGGATTGGAAGATTTCTGCTGAGCCAAGGTCTTGGGTCGTGGGCAAAGCATTTGGTTGACAATAGGTTGAACGCCATGTCTCTAGAGTTATCTGTATCTCCTTGATATGAGAATAGAACTCCATAGCTGCAGGATTTCCATTCTGCTCTAGCTGCTGTAGAAAGCCTGCTGTAATATCGAACTCGTCTCTATCGTTCGTCGAGGTATCCAGACCAAGTGTGCTTGCTATTGCGAGGATCACTGTAGCCGAGAAAAGATGTTGCACGTAAGAGTAGTCAAAGATGTGGAATTCGCCATTGACCCAGCACCGTAGCAACAGCTGGCAGGACTGTCGAGCAGTGCTGATGCACGCATTTGCCACATCGCGAGCTGCATCTGGAAGAGAGTTATCTTTCGACGCCGTAGTAACCTCGTCGACGTGTCGACGAAAGCAGAAGAGGAGGACAGGCCTCGTTGCTAAAATAAATAACTACAAGTGTTAGTAAACGTGTGTGTGTAGATGAGACATATATGCGCAGGTGTGTAGTATATGTTGCTAAATTGAGCTAGGGGAATCCACAAAGAGCTTACCTGGTTGAACGATACCTTCAATCTAGAAATAATAGACTTGGAGTGATTCTGAGTCTCATCGGTGCGACTGAAGTCAAGCTTCATCTGCTCAGGTAATTCCTCCTTCCAGTGATCGAGCTCCTCTTGAATCCTTGCAACTCTTTGAAGAAATGTACCACGCTGAGGCGTCCGGACATAGAGAGATCTCGAGATGTTCCCTGCGATCTTGGCAAGGCGCACCACAGCCAAAAAGTAGGAGTGGTCGCCAAAGTCTTCTGAGGTGAGAGCAGGGCTATTGGAGGGTAGATCCACCGAGATATCGTCGTCCGATATGAGTGGCGGAAGACCAATCTTTGACGATAACAGACGATCGAGGATATAAACTGACCACCACACCCGGATACGATGTTCCCGAAGTTCAGGATCTGGAACATAGGCGTCGCCAATGTTGAGATGGAGGCCCATCACGGTCGCAAGGCGCAAGGCTGAGCCCACCAGTGTACACGCAGAATGTCGGCGGTTTGCTTCCAGCGAATACAGAGTCTGCCCTATCAGCCATCGCGACGGAACATGAACCATGAGATAACCTACTAGAATCAAAATCGTCTCGATCACGTCGAGCTGTGGCCTTTCGTTGATCATACGAATAGTATCGCTGGCGACTGCAAAGTAGGCCAAGCCTGGGAGTCCTTTGCTAGAACTCAGACATTTACTTGAACGTAGCTCGCCAAGTGCAAACAAGGCCCACATCTTGGCTTTCGCAATTGGACTAACGCCGACGTTGCTTGGGTCTGAACAGACGGTGTTCAGCGCCGAGAGCATCTCGCTGCGCCGGACTACGTGATAGCTATGCCAGAGAAACTGTAGCGCTGTCTGGACCAAAAGCCTGGCACGCGGCGGCGTCGGCCAGGCTGGGTTCATCGTTGCCAGGAGGCGTAGAGCATCGTCGGAAGCGAACTGAGTGCGAGGAATATGACTTGGTGTTTGGGAAGAAAAGGCAAATTGGCGGAAGCGAGTCGCAAACGCGGCATCGGAAATCTCACCTATCCAGATGGGGGTGTCAGATGTTCTAGTGTGGGCGAACCAGTCGATTTCTTCTAGTATCTGCTCTCCAGAAGTATCTGGATGGTCGTCAGATATCAGAGTAAGACTGTCTGCATTTTGGGTTTGTGGTGACTCAGATTGGGTCCGGGCCCGCAGTTCCTCATTTTCTCGAAAGAGGCGGTCAAGGAGACTATTTAATGTCAGTTTCATTGACTGAGAAGAAGAAGCATATAGCAAGTCAGCGACAGAGATAATACTACCTTTGGGGTACCTTGATCTGGCGATCTCGCGTCGGATAGACGCATTCAGATGCCCGAGTACAATTATTACACGGTCTACCTCCAGAGCATTTGATCTTTCGGTTATGACAAGGGCGACACCTAGATGTGAGGATAACAGAAACAGATTAGCTAAGGGCATAACATCTTTGTGGCTATGTGCATCTTACGCGATGGATTTCTGCTGGGGTAAGTTAGAGGGAGTGGATTGATATCGTCGTTTATTACTGCGGCTGGTGGATGATGACATTTTCTAGCCGGCTAGAATAATAAATATAAATTTAATTGAGGTAACTTGAGAAAGATATAAGATATTAATAGAATAAGTGGCAAATATGAAAAAGAGGAGATGGATGGATTTTTATTATCGGGGAATGGTTAATCTTGCCGCTTCTATCTACCTAATAATTATAAGTCTAGTAGTAATTTTAGGTAAAGTACTAATTGGGCACAGCCTCTAATTAGCCAGTTAAAGCGGGACTAACGTGGCTAAAATACTAAGTTATGTACTAAATTAGATATTAACTTTCACCTTTTAGTGGGAAGTTTGCCATTAAGCGACTTAAACGGCGTATAACCTGGTTAAATTACAGTCATCGCAGTCCCTCGTAGTATAACACTTAGTAATAACAATAACTACGAGCTCGCCGTGCGTGGTTAGACTTTTTGCATGTGATTATAACATGTCCTAAATCCGACTTGGCAATCTGGCTTTGTAAGCCTATCGAGCTCAACCAACAGCTAATATGATTAACCCCGCATATACATAAAGGGCGGAAGTAATAAATACCTCATACCTTCTAAAGTAACAACCAGCTATCTAGGTTACAGTATCTTTCTATCGGCTCATCCTCTTACTACCACTCCTGTCCTCAAGTACCCTGACCCTGGACTCACAGCAATGTCATCTCCAAGCGATTATACTGTTGGTTGGATCTGCGCTCTCACGATTGAAGGCGTTGCTGCTACGGCTTTTCTTGATCAGAAGCTAGAGGCACCGGCATCTCAGGCTAAGAACGATGCTAACAACTACAAATATGGGAAGGTTAAAGACCACAATGTTGTTATTGCCGTACTTCCTAAAGGAGAATACGGGAATAGCCCAGCAACCAGAGTGGCAAATGACTTGAGTCGCAGCTTTCCTAATATACGTATCGGCCTTCTGGTGGGAGTTGGCGGTGGTGCACCAAGCCCCAAGCATGATATACGGCTTGGGGATGTTGTAGTCAGTATCCCAAAAGGGGGACAGAGCGGTGTATTTCAGTACGACTATGGAAAGGCCATACAAGACGAGAATTTTAACCTCACCCGGATACTTGATCAACCTCCTTAGTTGCTACGTACAGCAGTTGCATCACTTGAAATCGATCACATGATGGATGGCAATGGTCTTGAAAGTATGATCACCGAAGTCTTGGACCAGAATCCAAGACTCATGGAACAATTTGGACGGCCACCGAATAGCACAGATATCCTGTTCCAACCTACCTTCAAACACAGCAAAGGTGATTCATGCAGGCTTTGCAAACCAACCCCGGACAACGTTATAGAACGTGAGCCACGAAAGAACGAGAAATCATTGATTCACTTCGGCACTATTGCATCGGCCAACACTTTGGTAAAGGATGCGTTGTTCCCGTGACGACCTAACCTCCAAGAATGATGTTTTGTGCTTTGAAATGGAGGCGGCAGGACTTATGAATGGGTTCCCATGTCTGGTTATTCGCGGCATCTGTGACTACTCCGATAGTCATAAGAATAAACTATGGCAAGGTTCCGCGGCCATGGCAGCAGCGGCATATGCGAAACAAATCACCAGCCTCATCCGTCATGAAGAACTGGCACAAGAAACAAAACTATGCGAAAGTTAGTCAGATAATCAGGTGCTCGTAGTGAGATAACCTCTAACAATAATCAACTAGTTCAAACTCAAATCAATGAAATTGCGAGAACAGCAGAAGACGTACGGTCGCAGCAAGAGAAGGAAGAACAATTTGAGATCTTGACCTGGCTTTCGCAAGCAGATTTTGGACAGCAACAAAGTGAAAATTTGCGAAAGTGGCAACAAGGCACTCTTCAGTGGCTTCTCGAGTCTCATCAGTATCAGAAGTGGATCCGAGAGAAAGGAGAGATACTATTTTGCCCTGGTATCCCCGGGGCTGGAAAGACTGTCGCTACATCAGCAGTCATTCAGGACCTTACTCAACGTTTTCCAGGAGGCACAGACATTGGAATAGCATTCATTTACTGCAGCTATACAGAGAGGAACAATCAGCATACAACTGGCCTTTTAGCAAGTATCCTGAAACAGCTTTGTCAATTTCGAAATGCGATCCCCGATGATTTGAAAGAACTTTACATCGAGCATCGAAAGCAAGGTACTAGGCTACAGTACAAACAGATTGTTAGAGTCTTGAAGTCACAATTTGGAGTTTACTTGCGTGTCATGGTCGTGGTAGACGCGCTGGACGAGTGGCAGCGCCCTCCGGATGATGCTTTCAACATATTGGACGAGTTGCTCAGTCTGCACAATGAGAGTCGCATTAATCATTTTGTGACCTCTCGTTTCGTCCCGACAATCTCGAACAGGTTTCAGAATTATCCGTCTCTCCCTATCCTAGCGTCGCAGAGTGATATTTCCGAATACATCAGCAACTACAATTGGTCATCATCAAGCCTCGTCTATGAGAACCCAGGTTTACAAGAACAAATCAAATCTTATATTTCTCAAGCATCAGAGGGGATGTGAGTGTATAGATTCTCATATAACTGTAATCGTACTAACCTTATGAGTAAGGTTCCTATTAGCTCAATTCTATCTTCGTTCGTTGGAAGACAAAACCACACCAAGGGAGTTGACGGATGCCTTGAAGCTGTATCAAGATCGAGCTGATCGTAAAGAGAATGATCAGAACTTCGACATGCTGGCAGAAGCATACGATGAGGTGATGGATCGAATCAACCGGCGGAACGCAAACTTCAGACGCAGAGCCCACCAAGTTTTGTCTTGGGTATGTTACGCAGAGAGGCAGCTCTATGTGAAAGAGCTCCAAGCTGCCATAGCTGTAAAGGAAAACCAGGTCGAAGTTGACGAGCTAGATTTATGCCCCATTAATCTTTTACTTTCGGCATGTTGCGGCATAGTTGTGATCAGCGAGGCATCCGAGACCGTTCAGCTGGTTCATTACACAGCACAGGACTACTTCCTCGACAGAAAGGGACAGTGGTTCCCACATGGGCAATCTTACCTTGCTAAGCAATGTATAAACTACCTTTCATTACAGAAATTCCAGGATGACCTGCCCGACCCAGTAAATGATGTTGTCCAGATATGGACTAAGGACCCTCTTGACCGGATTGCACTCTTTCAGTATGCTGCACTGAATTGGGGACATCATGTACGTAACGCCGAGGATACCCCTAAGGCCATTGCCCCAATTGGAGAGACAGACGTCTCCCGCGCCACCATTACACTTTCAGAGGTTGATCAAGCCGTCCTGAACTTCCTCAGCTGCAAAGATAAGATCAATCTGGCACTGAGTATACACCTTTACACCATTCAAGACAGCACTCTCGTGGGAGAAGACTTCAAGGCCAACGCATTGCACATGGCTGCGTTTTTTGGACTTGATCGAGTAATTCCATCGCTCTTGACTGGGGTTAAGATTAATTCACAAGATAGCAATCGACGAACTGCTCTGGGCTGGGCGTCGAAGGCTGGCTGGATTACTACTGTTCACTTACTGTTATCATTGAATGCTGATGTCGACGCCCTGGATTTCTATGGACGCACACCTCTGTTTGAAGCTACCGAGTCCAATCATTTCGAAATCGTAAATCTACTCATTGAGAGAGGCGCTGATATACATGTGGTGGCATTCAATGGAAATACAGCTCTACACTATGCTGCGGAGTCAAATCGAGGCAAAATCGCCCATCTACTGCTAGACAAAGGCGCAAAGTTCGACATATCGAACATGTTTGGACAGGTTCCTATCAACATAGCAGTGCGAAATGGCAGTCGGTCAGTTTACAATCGATTGTTCAAGATGGGTGTCAACCCCAGATCTTGTGGTGTTGACGGGCGAACGATCCTGATGGAGGCAGCGATGGCCAAGAATGAGGATCTCGTCAAAGAGCTTCTCAAACAAGGAGTCAATTTAAACTCTCAAGATTATCAAAATCGAACTGCCCTTATGGAGGCATGCCGAGCAGGTAATCAAAAGATTGTCGAGGTCCTTCTACAGCATGACGCCAAGCCGGATATTCAAGATTGTAAAGGCCCGACTGCCCTGATGAAAGCGAGCCATCAAGGAGATGAAAGCATAACTGCACTACTGCTTAAGAAAGGAGCAAATCAACACATAGTGGATCATGATGGCAGTACTACCCTAATGCATGCCTGCGAAAGGGGCAGTGGCCGCATTGTCAGGCTGCTGCTGCAGAATGGGGCAGACCCAGAGGTCGTTAGCCACTCTGGCCTCACGGCACTGGAGTGTGCAATTATAGGATTTGATGAACTGAGCATTAAACTCCTTCTCGAGCACGGTGGACATATGGATGTTGTCTCACAGCTATTTGAGGGCGAGTCACCGAAACTAAGCGACCATGGGGCCGCCCTATTTGAAGCATTTGAAGAAGGTTGTAGCAGTGAAGTCCTACAACTACTGATGGAAAGAGGACAATCAAAGTCTCCAGGATGGCACAATGGCCTGCCCTTTTTGAAAGCATTGGAGGACGGGCATGAGATAATTATCCCGCTGATGCGAGATTCCGGTGTTGATCTCATCAACTGTAGCAAGGAGACGTTAGAGAAATTGATTTCAGAAGCGTCAAGGACAGGGGATGAAGACATAGTTCAGTGGCTGGCTGAATGGAGTGGGCATTCATGTCAACTATAAAGACAAAGTCTAAAGAGCGCCGCTCATGGTGGCATTAAGAGGAGTTTAGAGTAATATTATAAACCTACTTTGCCTAACGTCTTATTGCGGACTTTCGGCGGATATCACTATTATAGCCGCACGCTACATATCCGCATATCAGCCGCGTCGATACCCTAACAAGACATTAGATAGACCACTGCGCAGATATCTGTCCTGGAGATGCCTAGGTGGTACAATCTCTGATGGCTCATGATGTGTGATTGATTATTTTCCTCTGGCATTGTATACATAGCCAGGTAATAATGCGATCCGCTTACTGCCTGGCAATAGCGGCTTTAATTATTGGCTTGAGGTTGAGAGTTGCGGCGTTAAAGCGGAGAACTTTGTGCATGTAGTAACTTGGGTTTTATTTGCAGGCTGGTAAGTAAAATGGAAAATAATAAATTAAACTTCACTATTAATGTCAATATTTCTCTAATCAGAATGATATCTTAAGAACTGCGCTTATCAGATCATCCCAGGTCGTTCATTATGGCTGACTGCTGTGTTAAAGGCTTTCGGTGGGACGCAACGCCCAAGTGTAGAAATGACAAAGTTGCCGGAATCGATTGCTCCGTCTTGGCGGACTATTATGCTGAGGAGGTGGGAGCTACCGTTCTGATACCTGACTTGTAAGTGACCTGAACTGCAGAAGCTAAATGAAAGAATTTTCTGACCAAACTGGCTCGACTCTAGCTTTGGTGGTGAGATTCTTGCAGCTGACATCATACTGAACGACATGCGATGCGCTGAGCTCGATCTTCCAACATTCTTGGCGCGAAACAGTAAGGCTGTGAGAGGGCCTGAGATCATTAAAACTGCAGAGGTACTCAAAGCTTCGTATCGCCGGTTCGGAGTCTTCGGCTTCTGCATCGGAGGATGGGGAGCGTTTCATATTGGAGCCAAAGATAAACAACTCGCCGACTGCATCTCGGTGGCACACCCAACGATGGTCGAGAAGACCGAGATTGACGGTTTGGCCGTTCCAGTTCAAATCATCGCTCCTGAGATGGACCCGATGTTCACAGAGGAGCTGAAAGAGTACAGTAATCGGGTCATCCTAGTACTTTCCTGGGCTTGAGCATGGCTTTGCTATTCGCGGAAACCTCAATAAGCTAGGAGAAGGGGGATGGAAAGAGCCAAGAATGCAGCGGTCTACTGGTTCCGAGAATGGCTACTGGAAAATGAATAGATGTACATGAGCCAGAACTTATAGCAGCATTGGTATTTCTAATAGATAATTGCTATATATCTTCTCACTTTCAATCTTGAAGATAGGGCTGTGCTATTTAATTCTTCTGACTCAAAACGGGCTATTGCCGTGGGGGCTGGAAGCGGAAAATACCAAGATAACTGCTAATCTTCTACCTAGTCCGAGGGCATAAGCCAGATCGGCAGTAAGGAGATATACAGTAATACATCACCTGGTGCGGACGTGGCGTTCGCTTGCGTGTTCGTAGACTCAAGTCTTCTCGTCCCTGACACAACTATAATATCTTATACGTGGTGCTTTTTTTCAAGACCACAATTTATGTCATTCAAAGTTTTGCGGCTCGGTGGTTTCTGGTAAGTTTTCGAACTGACAAATAAATGGCATCAGAGGCCATTGTAACATATCGCCAGGATTTATAGACCAGAATTAGTCATTGAGTCCCTGGAGATGGTCGGCCTCTAGAACTGCTACAATTCCGTCGCTCTCTGTGAGCCCAATATCTTGTTCCAGGGGTTATTGGATGCTTCGATAAGGGAGCCCTGCCCGAATGACCCTCCATGTGGTATGGGCTCAGTGCCTGGTTAAGACAAACGTCGCACAGATTTGGTTGACTCTGAGAGACGGCGTGGCGGGTAATTGAGGCCTTCTCCCAGTTGTCACCCGGAGGATTTCCACTTCGTGATAGACTTCCAGCAGCATCCTTCAGAAGCTTTATAGATTTCCTAGCGACACTACTCAGTTCTTTATAGTTTGAAAGGCACTGTAGACATTGTTCAAGGAATGTTGTAGGCAGTTGTTCAAATGAACTGCCATCGCCAAAGTTGCACAGCTGGGCTGGAAGTATAATGCTGGCCGAGCAGTGTAAATCTATAGCATCTATAGCCCGAGATGAGAAGATATACCGATGAGTGTGAGACAGCCACTTACAGCGTACGTTGTACCACCACGCCGGGCACCCTGTGAACTGAGTGTCCGAATTCAAAAATGTGATCAACCCTTAAGCAGAAAGCACGCAATGGGAAGCTATGCCGGAGACCACCAGGTCCTATCGCTGGACTTCGGGACTGAGATATTGAGCGTCAGGCATTCTGTGTCGGAATGAGGCCGAAGACGGAAACGCAGTGAATGTTGTATGAGTGTGTGCTCCCATTCTCACCCATTTGAGGGGCTCATAGGTATCGGTCTAGAATGAGGGACTGAGTCGCAGGGTATAAATAGTGTGAAGTTGTACCTACCCATATGTTGTAGCATCTAGTCTACTACCAGGTACTGAAGAATACTGCTTCAGTTCGCCTCGTAAGAACCTATGTTCAAGGGTTGCATATTGAATCCCCAAATATTGAGTCACTTCTGGTAGCCTACTGATACCTTGAATACAACCGATAGAGGGATGCTCGACCGGGTGCCTCGTGAGTTCTTGGTCGATTTCTGACATTGTAGTTCTAGTAAAGGATTTCCCTTCAGAAGACTGTTGTGAGACGCCTTGGAAAAGAGCTATCAGGTCAATATGTAGCTATGTAGCTTATGGGCATAAAAATGGATGACTGCCTGGCCAACAGTGCCAACCCGTAAAGCACTGTCGAAGTCGGGGATATACCCACTATTCCGGAGAACGTCGGCCAAAGCCCCCTTTGCTTCTCACAGAGAATCAATTATTGTCTAATGATTGGACCTTGTTATGATAATGGCGGCAACAGGTCGGTGGTGAGAACCGGCATAACACACGCAAAAAGTACATTCTGGTGACAGTTGTCCATTGGCCCGTGTTCACTTATTGCATGGCTGGCGAGGTATAAAAGTGTACGAGAGTCTATAATACACTGTAGAGATTCATTCTTTACGGACATCAGAGACTATTACGTGGTTGATCTCATTTGAGAAAACGCAAACCTGGTCATCGTGCAAGACCCCGGCCACGGAGTGATCAGCAGCAAACACACCGCGTCTGAAATCTATCACATTGCCTTCACTCTCAACAGTCTGGCCGATTTAGTGAAGAGCTACGAGCAAAAAACGGCCAAGGGCATTGAGCCGCATTGGCCAGTCAATCATGGGATGAGCACGAGCATGTACTATTTTGATCCTGATGGCAACGAGATTAAACTTCAGGTTGACAACTTCGCCACGGCCGAGGAAGCTCATCAGTTCATGGTAACGTCTGAATACGCCCAGAACCCAATTGGTGTGGAAATTCATATAGAAGAGTTTACTTGGAGGGTAAAGAGTGGAGAAGATGAGGCGAGCATCAAGAAGCGGCCAGTTATTGGACAAGGGCAATCCAGATGGGAGAACTCGATCTACTTCAAAGCTCCGGAGTTGGTACAGAACTGGATAGTTCCTAGCAATATAGTCGTTACAGCAAGTCGCTTGGGTCTAGAGGATGACAAGTCACCGTCCTGTCTAGCTTTAAGATGCAGCTGTAAGCCGTAAACCAGGGAGGTCTGGATACATACTGGTTATCTGCCTTTAAGATAGCATAATTAATCGCGAAGAGTCCTATAAATGCTTGTAGTGATAATTGCTGTTCCGTGACGCCACGTGATTGTCTGCATCAGAAGCTTCAATGACGAGAGGAACATCTTGAAGTTGTTTCTGCCGGTCTTTCTGTCTACGTATAGGCCTACCTTAGTATCTGCAGCGTGAACAGTCCACCTTTCTTTCATTCAACTTGTCTGCGCAGTATGGTAACTTCTGGCCCCGCCTGCACCCTGACAGGATAATGTTCGATACTCGTCTGTCTCGGTACCCCGCCTTTACACCTTGCAACACACTGCTGCTTGAGTCCCGCGTTTACATCCGCAACTGCGATGCGACACTGCCCGCCCATCCGCTCTATGCCCGCGCTGCTTGGGGCGTTCTTGTCTCATTGAATCCAGGAGCGCCGGGGGGAGTACACGTACGTTCCTGATCGCCGTATTATGTATAGCTAAATCGCTAATGTCTATCTATTAAAGTCTCTGATTGCCATTGTTTCGATTCTTGCTTGCAAAAACCTATTCCAACAGACTTGCAGCTCATTCCCTGCTAAAATTAATTATCTGTTTTCCATATCGATACATTATGGCTCGCGAAATTGCTACTATTGGCGGCGGCCCAGTCGCCTTCTCAGCAATAAGAGCATTCTATGGTCTCTCAATTGGAAGTGGACCGTTCACAATTGCGCCGTGAATAGTAGTAGATTTTCACGCCTCTTGGACACGAACGTTAATGACATGGCGCCCTCTAGCGCCGGATGAGCTTTCTGACCGTCGGAACGGATTGTAACAATAGCCCGAAAGTTCATATTGTTTCGGGGTTTACC